AACAACTGAACTTTGGTATTTTGTGTTTATATTGAGGTTTGATCAGCAAATTTGAGTTATGGATATCGTATGGTGTGAAATTACGCAGTTTCTTTGTTGTAATAAAATATACATTAATTAGAACAATATTTATGTCTACCGAAAATGTTAACCTTGCACGCGTCATGTTATTTTCATTGCAATTTATTTAAATACAACATACGTACCATCGGCACATCGAATACGTTTTGTTCTTTCTCAACTGTTAGACGAATAATTTATGACCACACACCAACCAATTAATTATTTGAAGTACCTTTCATTTTGTCAATAACAAGTTATTATTTCTGATTCGCCACATGAGCATTGGGTGCGATATCTGCAGTCATTTTTTCAGAAACGTTTTGCTAACATGTAATTCAGTGACTAAATCTAAAGTGTTTTCCATGTACTAGAATTATGTTAGTATCGTTGTTGTATCAGTCAGCTCTGGGACAGAGTAACCGAATTGCAGTTCCCCAGTGTCCGTTCAACACAATGATTGGACACAATATCAACCGGATTACATAGCGACGCATCCGCGTACAGAGCACAAACACACTGAAATGTATCATTCCGCCATACCTGTACGGTAAAAATTGTAAAGTACTACAAAAATGGTAAATATTCAATAATGTGGAAATACTGCTTCTGGAAAATACTATTTTTAAGTACCCATTCACTCTATAATTAACAGTATAACAGAGATTGTATTTGTTAAAACATATATCCGATTCAAATTTCTTTCTTCTCGAAAATTTTGAGACGATGATATTGCTTTGAGGTACCCTTGACCATCATCAAATGTGTATAGCACATTCGTAAGAATAAAAAACGTTTGCGTTTGTCGAATGTTTACGACATTATGCTTGTGTTTGTCCTGATTTGACGTTTAGTTTCAAGCTTTACAAGTAACAGGAAATTGGTCTATTATTGGTCATATTTCGATTTTCCTTACTTAAAAAAAAATCTTTATATAGGTCCCACAAAAAGAACAAGTGTCTATGAGGAATGAAAGATCTAGCACCTGTTTCTGGTAAAAATGAACAAAGGTGGTATTTCGAATTGGAAGACAGCCTACCAAACAAACAAACTGACTAACAGACAAAGTACTATCACAGTCTTCATACGATAAAAACAAAACATCAAATCATCGAATAAAATCGAATAATGATTTAAGCAATAAAGTTACAAACCCGTTGATGTATTACAAAAATATAGTGGCAACAAAGTTCAACTCTTGTCTCCCCAGCGACAGGTGAAGCATAGCTAGCCGCATAGCAACCATACCTTGACACATACGACTAAGTGAATTTAATTAATTGCATAATGACGTAATGGTGAAAGAGTATAAAAATACATTTGCGCGTGAGTCACAACTACTTCGAACTCAGTGTAACTACGCGCCTGACTGACTAATTACCCAAGTAAGTACCTATTATTAATCCATACTGCGATCCAATAACAGCGAGTTCCTTTTCTTTTCAAACCGTTGTAATTTAGCATTTGATACCAATTTTGTTACTTATTTACCAACAGACATGAAAACCAAAAGCGTTATTTTCATCGTAGCCGTAATGCTGGTTGTTTTACAATGTTGTAGCAAGACCGAAGGGTTTGGGATCACAGGTGGCCCTCCTAGACGAGTAAGTACATACATATCATACATAAATCAAGTTGGGCTCGTAGACTCATGAATTGATGTTAACCATGTTTATTGATCAAGTACAGAAGTACAAAAAATAATGCTTGTCCAGATTACAGTAAACTACTAATATAATAAGCCCAATAACCCAATAATTACTTGCTGTTCCCTAGAGAATCAACAGAGCAAATGTTTTTTTTTTCTCTATCAAAGAAAGAAATTGCTGATCAGACAAATTATGCACAACTTTTACCTGCTATTGGCCTAAGCATATGAAAGTGGACAGAGCTAATCAGGTCATGAAGGTTAGGTTGTAGGTGATTTTGTTAAGTGTTGTTACTTACTAGTAATCGTCATTGACTGCGTTAATAAGTCAGGTCGTTAAATGGTTGTTGTAATCTGTCTTCTGGCAAAGGAAAGGGTTTGTGTCATCTGCATACGTATGATCTGTCAGCTATCTAGTATCTATATGAAATATAACATTAGAGTTAATATAGTAATAAGATATGTTTAAATTGTAAATACATGTACACCATGTTTGAAAATAGAAATGTCTTATCACTTGTGAAGTAAAGTCGTATAGGGAAATTTACGAGTCCAAAAACGCAGTCTACTGATGAAAATAAGTTGTTGAACCAGTATGTATTTTAACATATAAAGTAAATAGCAACATTTTATAGTTATTTGAAAATACTACTTGCTTTTTTTCTCAAAATGTCTGCAAATAATATCAAGATTATTTGTTATATCTATATTAACTAACACAGAACAAAGGAGACGGCTAACAACTAGTTAAGAATGTAAAAAAATCTCATTATTTTTTTACTACTTAAACAGACACAGAAAAACAGAATTTTAACACACATTAACGATATATCACAAAATGACAGACTTTTTAAAACGCACTGGCAATTGTTTATAATATCTCAACACTTAAACTTTCATATAGTTCACATTTGTCCTTCTGCGTCTTGATTACTGTTCCCTTCTGGTATCCATACGAGGGATGTTATGCAATGGAAGATATCTTCCATTCTTAGCACATCCATTTCCAATCTCTTGCATTTTACTGCATTGCTGGTCAGTTTCATGTTTGCTTCCTTGCGTACGTCACAATTGGATACATAATCCACTCCAAATATTTGATTTGTATCCATTCTTTTGTTTTCACTTTCATTTTTTCCATGTTTCTCGTTCATAAAATAAGGCTGGTAATACAAAGGATTTTAACAATTTTATGTTTGGTTATTATTGTATTCTAAATATTTTCGGGCTTGATGAAAGACGCTCTTGTTCTGTTTTTTATATCATAACCAACATCCGTGTTGGCTGTCGTTGACGCCAACACGGGTAAACTGATCATAATTTAAATGGTGGCCGTCTATGCCTATGCTGCTGTAAGATTTAATTCATTTTGATTCATTTTGGTGCAATAAGCACTATTCTTCACATGTTCTCTCGATGAACAGAGTTCATATTATTCGAGGTATAGGAATTATTCAAGTACAATTAATCTGGAGTACAAATAATATAATACAATAGACATACCTTGATACACGACCAGTACTATAGCACAATATACATGACAAATACTATTGCATGTTCAAGTTACAGCATCAAGCTTAATCATGAACTTAAAAAAAAAACATTTGTCTGTATTCATTAATGGTATAAATTTGTCAAATGTAGGAAACGTGATGTGTATCTGATATAAAAAGGCAAACCATACATAAATGGATTCATCCCGATATGATTTTCGTCACAATAAATGCATATTCTCTCGGAGCTATGTTGTGAAGATGTCTGTCAGCTTCGATATGTAAAATTGAATTCAAAGTCTTAATATGCGTGTTCGACAGGGAACATTTTCAACTATACCTTTCATGACCAAATGTTTTGAACTTACAGTAGGTAGACATTTTTGGAGGATTAATATGCCATTTTTGAAAGTCCATATCGAACCATTGATTTAACAATGCAATAACATGATCATTATTGCCTATTTCTTGGTATATCTAAACCTCGCCCGCACCTGCTGTAAATAACAACTGTTTAAAGTTCAAAGTTCAACAGAGCCTACATTGTCAGCCTCATCTTTGTATTGTGATATCACGTCGCTACCACGGACATCAAACGGTGTTTTAAATGTATTTGAATAGAGTACATTACACGGAAGTGAACATTGGGTGCTTTTATACAGAGAGAAATATCAAAAGAACTCAGAGAAATTTTGTTGTAAAATTTTTTTTTTTAATTTTTTTTTAATTTTATGGTTAATTTGTCAATGTACTCGCCTAATACAAAGAAATGAACATAATCGTTTTGCACTCCAATGTTACCGGTAGAAAGGAATAACAAATGCTAGGATCTCCAGATCAAAGAACAACTACATGTTACCATTCATGAGGCGTGTTTGTTTAAACCTGGAAGTAGACCATGTGAATTTTTGTCTTTTCCTTCTAAGAATTCACGATATGTATACACAATCATGTTCTTCAAATATTTTGGAATTTCTCAAATATTAAAAAGTATCTCGACTTTAAGCCAAATTTAAATGAAAGTGTTAATTTCTGGTTGATAATTTACGTGATAATTATCACAATTGGTTACATTTGTGTTGTATTTTCTCAAAGGCATAAAATCACTGATTGAACTGAAGTAGACTAATTTATTTATTTGTCCTGCCCTAGTACTATACGCCCGAAGATATTTGAATAAATAAATATACCATTTATCATAGAATATCTAGTGTGATGTTTAACAACTTTATACCGCAATTTAAATAATTGCTGTTATAATAATGAGTATAATAATCGGTGCTTTCCTTTTTCATTTTGTAGGGTCTTGTGGGCGTAGTCGTCAACCCTAATGAATTTGATGACATGTGCGACATTTTCGGACCCGGAAATGGGAATAATAATGGTAATGGAAATGGAAATGGAAATGGAAAATAGTGGATGGAGCAGAATATTTATTGAAATTATAAAATAAATGCTTACCAAAATGTAATCAGCAGTAATAACTATGAAATGATAGAAACGTTTGAAAAATATGAATTATTTTATGTGTTATTTTATTGTCCTGCCTGCCTGCTTGTTTTTTTCTTCTTTGAAGAAACCAAAGATATTTTAAAATTTAGCGTGCGGTTTAGGATATATGGGAACTGGCGCACCAAGCTTTCAAAATTGCTTGGTCACATGGTGTGTCGATCATTTTGGTATTAAACACACATATTTAGTTCTGTAGACTTTAGGGTTTCTGAGAAATCAAAAACTGTCTGTCGCATCATTGACAACATGGCTACCGAATATGTGACATTTTCGTTGTCATAGATACGATTATGTACTCAATGTATCAATTTCTCGTTACGATTGAAAATGTGGACATCTTAGATTTGAGAAAAAAAAATGTTGTAGAATCATTAGTTTATAAACAAGTTCACTAAAACAACACTAGCAGTCGTGATATTTGTCGCCGAATTGGATTTATCAACATACGGTCATAAATGTATAAGATTCTGCTCCGACAAAATCAAACACATGCAATTGAATTACAGCTCGAGAGCTCAATATGATCGGCAACGTTGCGTGCCGCCATTCAGTATTTAATACGTTTGAGTATGAAAGAATACGCTGGTTGCAGTGACCCAACTTCTCGAGCTAGTATATAACTGAAAGAATCGGAGTTAATTGTGTGGTTTGTCGACTATTTTGTAGTGAGTAAAACAATACATCTGTTATATACCATCTAATGAAACTGACTTTGTGGTAGGAGGTGTCTTGAAACAAAGTGTTTTTTTTGTGCGAAGTCATGGTGACATATTAGTATGTGTCTCATCGTCATAATAAACTATCTATTCGAGGAAACAGTAATGCGCTATCAAACAGTTTGTTCCTTTAGTTTGGAATTTTGGAAGCAACTTAATGCTATCTGGACCGTATACCTTGTCGCAAAACGTAAAGTCGATATCAATACGCTTATAATGAACTATCGCAACTATCTCAAACCAGGACACGTAACCAGTCCAATGTGGTTAGAATTCACTCCGAATATATATGTATCCGTCAGCTACTTGTAGCTAATATGATTAATGCTTAATAACGGAGATCTCTAACAAATAACGGAAATATTATAATTTTCTATCGTCAAATCAAACTGGCTACGAATTTCATCAGCGGCAACGCAACGTAGTGTGCCGATAACTGAAAGAAATCAGGTTGGAGTGCGCGCTAAGTTAAATATATATCAAGTATATTTGATCAAACATTGTTACACAGAGGCTGGCGAGATATACAAAATGGTTGTATCTTCCTCATCCGTTCTTCACAGCATTACGTGGCCGGGTAATACGAGGTATATGACGTACAGACATAACAAATCACGCGTTGTATACGTCTCATGGGGCCCACACTGAACACGACGCGGGGGGTCGAGTTTGATGCTATGGCAATTGCTTATTTGTTGTAACGTTGACTCTTATTATATACAAACATTGCTTCCAAGTATTTCGTTTCTACTCAGTGAATAATATTGACCGAGTACTTAACTTTTCCGAAGTTTTAACTTACATCAACTCAAAAACATTTAAAATGCAATTTTAAGAGTAGATGTTTTTATTTCATTGTGTCAAAAACCATGACAAAAACAGTTCCAAAAAGTTGATGCTTGGATAAACTTGACTATGAAGTTTACATCATAGAATACATTTTAATTAAATAAAGCACAACTACTAATTCATGTGTTGAACGTTTCTGCTATAATTTATTAATTTTCTTCTCTATTGTCAATCTAGAACGTACAGTTCGAATTATAAGAATATGAGTTTACAGATTATTTCCATTTCCATTTCCATTTCCGGGAGCGAAATCAGCACAGACATCTTCCAATTGATCAGGATCGACGATTACGCCCACAAGACCCTACAATATTAAAATAGAAACACGACAAAGTGTATATATTACATTCAATTACGAGCACAGTAAATTATATCTTAAAAACTTCGATTGGTACAAGTGTTTACTCGTTGCGTGTCAATGTCAATATGTAGTACATGAAATCGCAATATTATTGTCAATATAAATATGCATATTTGTTCATTTCAGTAGAATTCGCGAATTTCGAGAAGTTGTATCAATTACTGCAGAAATGGTTATATTTACTAGACACTTATGCGCACTCTGAGATGCACAATAGTATGCTCTTAACAGAATAGTACTCTAAATCAATATGTTAGGTGTGATATAGCAAGGTGTTTGTTCTGACGTCTTTTCAACTAAAATAGTAGACTGTCGACAGTCGGTCGTTCCTAATATTAATCTGTTATTATTAATAAATATTGTGTATAAAGGTAATAGGAGTGAATACATTGCGAGCGCCGGGAGGGTAAGTATGGATTGCCGTTAGGCACGACCGACTGTCCGGTTCTGCAATTCACTGGTAAGATTTTTTATCAGATCCGGGTACTTTCACATATGCAAATGAATAGTCGCGCAGATGTATATCATTTTATCATGACCAATCGTGAAAAGAGTCTACTAGGATCGCCCACGACATACGCGAAGTTTGTTTTGACTATACTATGCGCGATCGCGACACTTTCCACAGCAGTTTTTGATATCATGACAAAAAACAAAACTTGACGAATGCATTATAAAAGTGCTGCAACGTTTAGACGACCGTGATATTTCTTGCAAAGAATACCAGCGAGACACTATCGCAAACTACACATAGGGGAGTGATGTGTTCGTCAGCGTGCCGTGTTGACATTCGTCTTGTCAAAAAGAACTCGTTTCGATGAAATCAGGAATACCCCACTTTCAGTTGCCATTCTCTTAGAGGAAAATGCCTTCGACCTTCTCAATAACTCTCGCTTAGTTTGTTGAAATTTCTTTTAGAACACATCCATGTTTTTTTGCAGTCGACGCTCTCAGTCCACATTTTCTGCACGCATAAGAACTGACAAGATGTAGATCGATCGTCTCGGCCACAACAAATTCGATTTCTTCGCATGTCGTAGTTCTGTTGATTCCGGTTTTCTATATTTTCTATTTGACTGCCACAATCAATGAACGTTGTTTCCTTGGTTCTAGGCGATTTAATAATTTTCTTTGATATTTTGGTTGGAGTAACTGTATTCATTTTGTTCATACTAACGTCAACAACCATCGCATTCAAGTGGTCATTTAGAATAAATTTGCATTCATGTTGATATAATTTATTTCGTGACGACAGCATCAACTATGAATTATTCATATCAACCAGAAACCTGCAGACGTCCCTCGCGTGAACTGGTTTGCATTTCCCAATAAACGCCTTTGGCGTTCGAATGTCTAGGAAACACAATTACGAGGACTCTCTACTAAAATAGGTACGCAATAATCTTTTTGTGGGTGTGTTCGGTGGCCGCAATCGTCGGTTTTTAACATATTTCGCGTTATTTATCAGATATGCTTTATAACAAATTATAGCTTTATAGCCGAATTATAGATTACATATCATCTTCCTCAAACTTTTATTATTTGGAGTAATGGTATTAGTGAAAAAAATGACAACATGCAAGTGACCAGGATACACGATTAACAGTAATCCTTGATTTTGACTAACATCTTTCTACCTATCTTTCTTTCTTTGGTGAATACCTGTTCAACGTATAAACGGTAACTGTTCAAATAGTGTTTTGCATCAGTCAAACAAACGCTAGCACCGTCGCCTATGAGAAACCACTCAGTAAATGGAAATATGACCTATATTTTACAAATTTAACTTTTTTCATATTCAACATTTGATAACTTTTAGGTGCAACGTAGACGAATAGTATGCATTTCTATAGAAAATGAATAATTTGACATTTTTCCTGACTGATGTCAGGATTAACTATTATAAGCTTGATGAAAGAAATGATTGTTTTTGTTGATGAAATACAGCAAGTTATTGTAATATCAATATATTTGGCATGAACATTCGAATATTCAGTCACAAACTATAGAATAGATTTATATGAACTTACACGACCAGGGGGTCCGCCGCTGACCCCAAACCCTTCAGTGTGACTGCAGCATTGCAACAAAACTATCATAACAACTACGACGACGAGGACGGCTCTGGCTTTCATATCTGTAATGAAACGATTATTGAATAATTAACTGTATGTTAAAAATGCAAAATTTCCTGAACTTTCTTTAGTATAGGAAGATATATTACCAAAAGTGACAATTTTTATGTCGGGAAATAGCTTTAATTTCTCTTAGTTATTGAATCCTTAATAGGTAACGTTTACGGATTCTTCTAGTACAGTATCATGGCATCTCATAACTATCATAGAATATTGTAAGCCCATGGATTGAATTTCCTTAATCGCATTAGATTAAACTGACAGTGATGTTTTAATGAATTTATATATGTGTATAAAAGCAGCAAAACGAATATATCTGAGTAATATCTCACACGACAATCATGTATAGAACCCCACGAGATATATTCTATATACTTACTTAAGCAGACAAGCTGGCAGGCAAGCAGGCAAACAGTTATAGTGCTGAAGAAAATATTGATGAGATGTCCAACACCTTAGTGGGTTTTTATATGCTTCTAATAGTCATTAAATTGCTAATCAATTACATCTGTTTAGTCATGCCTTCAACTTGCGGTTGTTGTCATGTGCATAGCTATGTTAGCTACAACTATTATACTTGGGGGTCAACAAATCTGTGCATAGTTTTACTATACAGCCAAGGACATGAATACATCATATAATAAAAATACATTATTTTTGAAGAAATAAATATATCATTTATCAAATAATAGTTGGTGTGATGCTTTCATCCGCAATCCTCGGGAGCGGACATCCGGGCAGCTTCCCCGCCTGGCAACCCGCGGCGGTGAAAACAAAGGCCCAAAACTCGCAGAAAACGGTACTTTGGGATGATTGTTGAGACTCCTCTGAACAGTGTAACACGATTAGCCCTAAGTGTGTAACGTATATAAATTCGGTTGTTCAGGATTACTTCAAAGTTGAGTTTGTGTTGTTTTCTCGAATTTTCACTGGCTCGACCG